GCACGCGCATCCAACATGGCGCGCGTCAGTCCGCTTCGTTAGTAGAGCATTTGTCAAGATAATTGTCCGAACAACACCATTTGAGGCTATGACATTTCCTGATTATTATGAATAGTTTACCTTTTGTAACTTCCTATTGAAACTAGTGTTTGCCCTTATTACCTAGATACAAGAGTCACATTGCGATAAACCAAAGTTACTGGACCGCATTAGGTGGTGTATTGTATGTGTGATTCAGCCTTGGCTTTGACATTGTGTCGTGGTCGGCCAAATTCGGCCGTTTTGTGCTCAATTACGTCGGCAGGCGCGGATTGGCCACTACGATGACACAGAGACATTCAAATGTTTTGTTTGCCCCTCATTTCAATGACACCACAAGAAAACTTGAACCTTGAAGGTGAATTTTACAATGTGCTGCAAATATATCGGATAATCAGATTTCAAAGATAAAAATTTAAAAATAAACTTTATAATACGGACTGTCTCGATCTCATTAAAGACTGGTTCTTTCATGCAAACTGAAGTAACTCGCAATATGACCCCAAAACCACTTTTTGACGCTGATTCCAAATTAACCATGTTGTTTTTTAATCAGTTTTTATACTTATATCGAGAACCTTTTTGCTGGGGAACCTATTCAAAATTCGAATCATTTAGTTTTTTACGTAGACTGTTACGTGCAAAAAATACGTTGATATGTTACGTGACTGGCCCTAAAGACTGTTTGTAACGAACGATATAATAACACCATAAGTGCTGTATGGGCCTCAATGGGGTAACCTCTCGACACTGTTGGCTCAGCCGGTACGACGTAACTTAAATTATTTATTTTAACCGAAAATTATCGCCGAAGTCTACAACACACTTATTATCTGATCAAAAACAGCTCAGTGCGACAGGTTCTTTCTTTCTACCTTAAAGTAAATCGTATGTCTATCTCGCTCCATCAGCAATGAATAGCTACATTCTAAGCATTCATTTTCGGTGAATGGCTAACTTTGTGCGATAATGGTATTAGTAGTTGACCAGATACATTAGATAACAGTAAGTAGCAGAAAGGATTTGTATGACAAAAAACGGTACTTAATACTAAAATATAAATAATAAAACATTAATTACTGATATGATCATACACCGATAAAAAAGTTGAAGGTTTCAGATGTCAATCTAGCGCGTCATCGTTATTTTAATAATAATTTTAAAGCGATTATTATCTGCATAATAATTATTTACACAATATTTTGATATTCAAATACCTATCATTCCATTCAGCTAAGTATTTAATACCTTATTTTATTTTTGGTAACTTTGAAATGAACTTGACATGGCGTTTGCTGCAATAGCTGTCAAAATAAAATAAAAAATGTTTTAAACATTACTGTTTGGGTCTACTAACTTATTAGTTTGTAAATGGTAAAGTTGCCTAGTTACCTACTTAAGTCAGCTACGTGTAAATATTCTAACACCAAAGTATTGTCTAGGCAACAACTCGTAATGTTACAACTAGAATAAGTAGTTATTGAAATGAATCATGCGCATGCATGCGTAAAAGTGACCTCGATAGTACAATTTGTTATTGTTACACTGAACACTGAAATATTGTGAAAGTTATACACGTTCCTGTCAAAAATTGCAATAGAAACGAAATTACTTACATTTGAAATCGATTACCTACAGTTTTTTTGTAAACAATCGTCTCGAACCGAAAGTGGATACACTAAATAGCAGAAATAGAGATTTTTCAAACCTGATCACGTTCTGTTTAATGTTTTAGAATTTTTAGATTCAAACGATGTTTCTTCCTAACAATAAGACAGGTAGACTACAAATAGTTAGGTACAATACAAACAACCACTTTCGGTACCTAGGTACGTCAAAATTGTTTTCCAAAGTAGGTTAATAGTAAAGGTATGGCTTATTAAACAGTTATTACTCAATATTAACTTTGTAAATCTATTCAAGAATGTTATTGAAGGTCGTATCTTCAACTAAATGGCGATTGTATCATAGGTACATATCATTAGCAATTATCTCAAACCTGCAGCGAAGGGAAACAATAGACTCACTGTAAAAGCAAATTATTCGAATTAAAATAATGATGATGATACTGTAATGACGTCACTTTATTTGAGGACATAATGCCGCTTGATAGTGGAGATTAAATCTCTATTTACTCGACTTATCGTTTTCCCATGGAAACTGTTATAGGTACCTGTTTCTTGTTCATACGTAGGTTAGTTACTTAATGTACAGTACAGACCTATTGTAGAGATCTGTAAATGTACAATCGCACAAATAGATAGGTAAAGAATATTGTCTCAAATTATAAATAGGTAGTAATGAAATCAAATGATAAAAAATAAACTAGGTAACTACTAATAAATCAACAAGTGAAATTAGCCTTTACGAGACACATTAGTAGATAGGTACTTACGTACATACATATCTAACTATAGGCAATTTTTATCGATTTAAAAGCGTTTGATTTGATAAAAAAAACAACAATTTTGTACTAAAGATATTCAAGCAGATACGGTACCAAAATTGTGTTGCTACATATAGGTATCAAGATATTGACAAAACGCAATACAAGGTAGATTTTTAAATAGCTTCATGTTATTCTCATCTCTAAAACGGTTTGTACTTACAAAGAATGCCATCCGTACAACCGAGGCTTAGTTACAATTCCACATACAGCTAGAGATTTTATGCTGAACATGTCGTGCATCCTGTCCACGGCTCGCAGCCAACGGGACCTCAGGACGATACGCGACACAAGACACTATCTACGCGTGTTTTTCCGTTTTAATATGCAAGAATGCAGCCATTTTGATTGATGTCCTACCTTTAAACCACAATTTAATGATATAACCACACAATATTTGAATAAGTTGTTTTAACAATGATTAAAATTACTAAGTCACCTTGTTACGGAAAATAAACAGATTACGCAATAATAATAATTATACAGCAAAAAATAAATAAACCATGTCCTTGTGTTATAATTTATTCTAATACAGTGCAATGTCACGCTTGTTAAAAAAATTATTGAACGTCACTTTTTTCCCGCCAATTCTTTAGTAAAAGTAGGTAAGATAGCGCGATTCTGCAACTATTTGACAGCCAAATCACCAACAAGTTGCGACAAGTTTTTTTTTATTGTGTAAAATTTGTTTGTTTTTTTTAAGAACTTACCTACCTGTATGATTAATAAATACATCGTTTTGATGATATTAGAAAGTGGTTTCGGCGATAGATGGGGATGTTTGGATTTAATTTCAAGTCAGAGAGAAGGCGTTGGATAGGTCGGAATAAGTTAAACTTAACCTTACCTAATTTACGCAGGCAACCAATTAAATATTAATAGACATGCCTAGGTACCTATCAAAGTGGTTCTCAAACATTGCTAATTTCAATGAGAGTAAGCACCTACTACCACCAGTACTACCTAAGTAAATAAGTAATTCTTATAAAAGTGGGTATCTGAACAATTACACACCTGTCAGTTTTTTTTTTAAACTACCCTCCATTTTAATCACAGAATATGTATTTAAGTAGGTAGGTACTAGGTACCCACCGAACGTTCATTTCGTTAGGCGTGTTCATACGGTGTACCTACTACTCAATACCATTTTAATAACTCGATGAAATCCGTTAGATCAACACCTGAAGAGTGGTCGGCCTACGCACACATGGACATGTACTGTACGTACTACGTTAGTCAACGAACACACCTACACGCGAATATTTCATCTGGTTGATTAGAAATAAACGACGTTCAAAACTTGAATTTAAAGGTTTGTAATGACACTCACCCGATTGGATTCCAAAGCCTCAGCACTATGCTCCTCCTTCTGACGGAAGCAATTAGTGCATTTGCTCTTGTTGAAGATGTTTGGTGCAAATTTCCTGCAATCCGATCGCCCAGACATGATTGCCAGAGGTCAGGGTCTATTCAACGTTCACTATGTCACCGTACACAGCATGATGCTACTGTAAAACACCCACACTAGACGATTAATCGCCTTTTTTCGTACCGAACACGTAGTTTATCACGCGCGCACCCACCGGTGAGTGAGCTATCAGCGAAATCACTGCAAGTGAAGTGAGCGCTAACGTCATATAAAACACATGCACTAAACACAATCTCCTTCGGCAACCGAACACCGAAGTAGTCGTACAATCGCGTAAACAATATTCGTATTCACGTCAAAATATTAAACAATAAACATCGATTTCACAACGAACACGCGGAGTTCGCGAGCGCGCAACGACACGACCGCCCGTCCATTTTACATCTGATAGAAAAGCAGCGAACACAGTTTGTTGTTTTACAACTTCTCTTTTCTTGTTTATGCGTCTGTAACTTAAAATGTCTATGTGTGAAAATCTTGTCAGTGTGCGTGAGTATCCTTATCTCTCTCTGAAACCAGCTGTTTGAATATGTCTATCTCTGTCTTACACTTCATTAATCGCTCATGCAACTGGTGCTGCCATCTATTGACATACTTTACAAGCAAACCTACTCAAGCAATGTCATCGACTCTTGAGCAAGCGCGTTGTCCTAGTTCTAATAAATCCCAATAGATGGCCATAGTACCATGAATAGTACATTGGAAATAGTGGTATATCACACAATACACATAATATTTGGTCATTTGTCTGCAATTTTTACTAGAATAGAAAAAAAAACATTGTTTTGTTATTTATATGTAAAAGCTTCTTTATTCCTTTGTTCTTTATGAGAAACAAATGTTGTAAAATAATTCATTACACAAAACTAAAATTAGAATTCAAAATATTACTTTTTATGATAGCTGTTTCATAAAATGAAGTAAAATTCATTATTTTACCAATAAATCAATAAAAACTACGTTTTACTACCCATTGAGAAATACGTTTTGAAACTCGGAAACGAAACGTATTTGAAACTTTGACATGGGTTGTCAAAGCTGGTGACAGTTGAGTTGACACTGACGGTAATGACAGTTCAACCGATCATACGATGTATGACGTGTGTGTGTGAGCGGTGTGCCCAATAAAATAGCTGTGCGCCGCATTTACGTTATCATACGCTTTCCCTCTTTAAACGTCCACAAAAATTATCAGTCTCGTTCGTAACATCTAGTAAACGGACGGCCTACAGTTTATTAACAAATTTTTTGATCCTCCCATTCATAGTCAAGGTGAGAGTTGTGTAGAAACAGCACGCCCGCCCGTCTAGTTCATACTTCACATATCGCCTTGAAAATCTGCGAGGGAATTTAAAATGTCCCTGTATGTTTAGTCATCCGGTGTAATAAAAATTGGTGCGCGCTCATAACCATTATTAGTGTAAGAAGGTTGAATTAAAACGTGAAATTGTGTTCTAGTATGGAGGACTTGAGTTTCGTTCCCGACCTCCCGAGCGGGCCTCTGGATAAGTACAGAAAAACTGCCTCCTTCGACTGGAAACGCCTCAAGTTGGCGCTGGAAGGTGATATAGAGCTCCTGAAACTCAAGGTATGTGATAGTAATATGAAACCTGTTTTATAATATTCTCATTTATACATTGCACAATATTTGTTAGAAAATTCGCGCCATTTACATTATACATTCAAAGGGAACCCAGAAACTGCAGAATTTGCTATATTGTAAAATTAATCACTGGTTTATAAATTTCCTGAATAGCAATTGCAACAATAGAATCACATAACACAGCCATAAAATTATTTTAAACCTCTAAAATATGAATTTTCCTCATACCATTCAATATCAAACTACAGTTTCTATATTAAATTATTTAATTAACAGAACATATCAACAAGAAATTAAAAATATCTTAAGTGTTCAATATTTAATGGTATTCGAATATCTTCAAATAAAGGCTTGAAATAGATCTGTTATGCAAATATAAAGTTTATGTCACATATTTCAAAGTTGAATGTGATATTTGGGACATGGATCACATAGATAACTGGTCATAAGATACCCATAGAATATAAACTACCACTGATTATTATGTTACATCACATAGTCACTGAATTAATCTCGATTGTGATGGTCCTTATAATGAGTATTTAATTTCCTGAACTAAAATACAGTAAATTAATGTAGTTGACTAAGTAGGTACTTATTGTACAGTTTATTTATTGTATCTTAAACTATTATATAAAGCGGAAGAGTTTGTTATTTTGTTTGTTTGAATGCGCTAATCTCCGTAACTATAAGTCTGATTTGAATAATTGTTTTTGTGTTGGATACCGCATTTATCGAAGATGGCTATAGGCTATAAAACATCACGCTACGTCCAATAGAAGCTGAGTAGAGCGTGTGAAACGGCTCGGAAGTAGCTATTTTTATAATAAATATGATATGAGATAATAGCCAAATGTCGGCCAATCAAATATAAAAATAGAATTAACTAAAATCAGCTATATATTCAAAATATTATTAAGCCTTTGAGTGTCATTAGTAAACTGTTGAAGTCAAGTCCTCCACTAACATCAGTCACTGGTGACCCCCATAGCATTTAATGTGTTATAATATGTTGTGTGTAACCGGAGTTTATTTTCAACATATTTTATATCACAATAAATATAAAAATATGATTTATTACGATACATGATTTATGAAAATAACTATTTAAACTATCATTAAAAAGTATTTTATCTAGAAAATAATAATCTTTCGTTTTATTTAAGAACTAGTGGCCCAACCCGGCTTTGCACGGGTGCAATATGCATGTATTATACATACAGAACTTCCTTAAGAATCACTCTATCATTTAAAAAAGCACATCACAATCCGTTCAGTTAGATATAACAATAGCTGCTCATAATATTATTTTAGAAACAAAACAACGAGACGTTTTGAATTAATTTACATTCTTTTATTCTCATCGACATTAGATATTCATATTATAATAATAGACTGTGAGTCTGGTGTATTCTGCATACATAAGTTATTAGACATTGATATGCCTAAATAAGCTAACTTAGTGATCTATGCTCATCTATTTTTTTTTAAATCTAGTTTACAGATAAATTATAATTTACGTATTGTTTTATTATGTCTATTAACAACTTTTGCTTCTGCTACACCTGCTGTTGTTGTCGATTATAAATGATATTATATTCGTTAAATTGATAGTGAATAACATTTTCAGATAATCATTAATATGTAGATAAATTAATACATGTGTGAAAAGGCGAATCTAGTTATGAAGTTGAAAATAAATTGACAAATAAACGGGTCGAATATTTTCTATAATGGTATGACTATTCGAAGAATCAATACAGTAATAAATATATAATTACACAATATTTTTGGAGTATAATTATGAATTCATACGAGTTAAATGCAAAGAATTCTTTTAAATTAATTACATAAGTACAAAATTAATTATCTCCTTTTGTATAGGTACTTAAGTTAGGTCATAGCATTCGTCCTGACCTCTAGCGTAATACCTAAAAGCTTTATCCATTTCTTATTGTATAAGCCGGTAAACAAACAGACGGATCACCTGATGGTAAGCAATCGGTGCCGCCCATGGACACCTGCAACATCAGAGGCGTTACAAGGTGCGTTACCGGCCTTTTGGAAATTGGGAATTTGAGGATTGTGGGGGATTAAGGCATTGGGGAGACTGGGGGTTAATTGGGCATCCGGTAACATCACTCCCACGACGTCAAACAACGCAAGCCGTGTTTGATGTTTGTTTTCTGTAAGGCCGTGGTGTCGCTCCGGTCGAGCCGGCCCATTCGTGCCGAAGCATGGCTCTTGCACACTTAAGGCTTAACCCTTTAAACAAATAGGTACACTTTAGTATTGAAAGTTTTGAATACATATTCACAAGTTTATAAATATTGTATGTAGTTTTTATAGGACATAGGGAGGTGCAAAATATTATGGCATTGAGTCCGATAATATCTGTAATCTTATCGGTAGCTGAAATACTCCATAAGTATCATGATATACCTAGAATCAATATCTATGATTTTGTATAAGCTACGGAACTAATATTTATATATTATGGAAACTACATTTTTGATATAATTTGCGATTTGACAAAAACAAACACACAACGAACAAACAAGTTCACAAAATCGGTTCATTTTTAACTAGCGATCCGCCCCGGCTTCGCACGGGTGCAATATGCATGTATTGTACATATAAACTTTCCTTAAGAATCACTCTATCTATTAAAAAAACCGCATCAAAATCCGTTGCGTAGACGGACAGGGCGGATTTTTTTTAAGGGGGGAAAATCATTGAATGACTGCTCCCGCCTGGGTGAGGCGAGCGAGAAGGAGTGTCAGACTCTTACTGACTAAAAACCACCCCGTTCCTTCTCTTGCACGTCGAGCCGTAGCCCCGGTAACCCGTTAGGTTCTCCGCGACACATACGGCGGATAGCGACTTTGTTTTATACTATGTAGTGTCAAAAATAAAGTTTAGTTCTTAGCATTTCAAGTTTAGTTTTTGTGGAATTACGACAACTAACAAGTTAAACCGTAAGCTAATCTGGGGCGCTAAGCGACAAGCCAGATGCAACTATGAAACTTGAATTTTTATTTGTCTCTTTTAAAAAAGAATTGGTCTATACTCCATAACAACATAACTAACTGGCGATCAGAGGACGTTACCTTAAGGGCCGACTTTTCCAACGCCAGATAAATCTTAACTAAAGAATAACTTTGGATAACTATTTGACAATTTAGTCCATATTGAAAGAAGGGAGAAAGAAACCATTCATTTGCTAATAGTGTAGGTATACCCAAAAGTTGGAATTAAGTTAATCGACCCAAAACATTTTACCTATCGGCATGCAAATTACAATACGATATGAATGTCCTCAAGTAGATATAAAAACTGTCAAATGTAAATTTTGTCCTACAGTTAAGAATTAACTGATGCGTGAAAAATCTGCCCTAAATTAGCTTCCGCCGTGTTAAAAAAGGTTCTCTTGACTAACAAGTTAGTTTCCAATTCTGTAGATTTCTGTGGCAGAAGAAGCATGAAAGCAGGATTGATGCGGTGGAAATGAGAGCCCTGAGAAGTATAGATGTGGCCTAAAATTGAGTGATCGAGTAAAAATTGTGTTATTAGAGAAAGGTGTGGATTGAATGATGATGTAGTGACAAGGATTTAAAAGGGAATGTTAACGTTTGGACATGTAGAAAGAAGGGATGAAAGTAGAGTAACGAAAGAAGTAGACAGGGCGTATAGGAATGGGGACATATAGTGACCAAATTGCCAATATATTAATTAAAGAAGGGCCAAATTAAAAGTACCCTTAACCGACAAGCATGCATGAAAAGATTGATGACTGTTAATGAAGCGAAAGAGGTATGTAAGAATCGTAGTAATTGGCGTTCCCTAGTCTCTGCCTTACCCCCATGGGAGACAGGCGTGAAGTTATGTATGTATGTAGATTTCTACTAATTCCACAGACCCACAGTTAAGAAACATAGAGATAGCATGTAGAGGTACATATTAACCTCTGAAGAGTATTCTCTCAATGGTGGAGGAAGTTTTCCATATATCCAATAGGTTTAGGAACCGATTTAATGCATAAACAAACTAGTAATAAAACCTTTATTGGTGTAGGCTTTACGCATGAATACCTGCCTATCCTTCGTGGAAAATTATCGCGAGGTGAGGTTTAAGAAACCTAATAAATATGCAAGCTTTTATTAATACGCTGACAAAGTGACGTCATTTATACAGGCCATCCATCTGAGCGCATCGTAAGGCTTCCTATAGCTACGGCTTATAAAATCGATTGTATCGAAAAATGTAGTACCTAGCTACGTGGATTAAGAGCATGTTTTGTGTCTATTATGAATATCTCGCAGAAGTCGACTAGCGATTTACTAAGTGTGGGAGAGCCATGCTTCGGCACGAATGGGCCGGCTCGACCGGAGTGATACCACGGCCTCACAGAAAACTGACGTGAAGCAACGCTTGCGTTGTGATTCGTCGTGTGAGTGAGGTTACCGGAGGCCCAATTACCCTTCCCTTCCCCAATCTCCCCAATCCTGAATCCCCAACGATCCTCAAACTCCTAATCCCCAAATAGCCGGTAACGCACTTGTAACGCCCGGTGTTCTAGGTATCCATGGGCGACGCCGATTGCTTACCATCAGGTGATCCGTCTGCCCGTTTACCGGCTTATGCAATAAAAAAAATAAAAAAAAAACTTTTAGTAGAAAAATAGTAAGAGTAAGATTCTTTTTTGTAGTTTTCGCGTGACTTAAACTACCTCCGTGGTTACAATATAACCAGCACTAATTGAGGGCAACAGGGCCTTCAGCTACAGAGCGCAAATTTAAAACATGCATGTGTATTTATAGGACCAGCAGCTGTAACCTAATGCCATTTAACGCTTGTCTACAGAGAGAGTAGAAATCAAAATGTATGGAGATGACACTGACAAGTGTCAAAATTTACGTCAATTCCATATAATTTGGTTTTCTATTCTACATGTAGACAAGCGCTAAATGGCATTATTGTTTTTA